CCCTCGGTTTTTACTCGGCCCGTGGTGTTCATCAAATAGTTCGCAGATTTTTTTCGATACATCAATGGATGCTATTTTCTTAACATTACGGTGCGAGCATGCGACTGTAGCACATAAAACTCGGTTTAAACTGTCGTCGGAGATCGCAGCTGCCGCCATGTTTCAATGTTGTTGACAGACGACAGGGCAAACGACGCACGCGCTCAACGTGAATATCGTGAGAGTTTGCACCGATGTAAACCCTCTACACAAAAAATGTAGAGGGTTGTTTGATAAAAATGCCGACCGTAAAGTTTTTTTTCGACGTATAAATTCTCGGTCGGTCGGGTTACCGGAAACACACTACTTTTTTTTCTACGCCTTACAAGTACACAGCCGTAGGGTTTAAAGAGATGGGGGGAAAAGTAGCGCCGTGTCGTCGGGAAATTATGCTAATGTCTCAATAATCCAGATCTTTAACAAAGGCTGAATACAAAGGCAAATTAACTTTGTGCAAAATGACTATAATCCATAGTACCGCATGCAGTCTCTACCCTCCGTCATTGTGGCCTACAAGTAGGTGGATGTCATGAGAATCAGGATCATCTTGCAATGATAGAACCACAGGGCGTTGTGCGCCTGACTGTTCGTGCATGTGTAGTACCTGTAGATGCAGAGACATGTTAACTCACCCAGGGAGAATCCCTCCTTATGGACCAGCCAGACTTTTTCAGAGCCATACCAAGCCTGCTCTGCTGCTATCTGCTCCTCCGTCTTGACCTGAGTGTCAAAGAGACAAAACGTGAGCAAGACATCACGAAGGAGACGAAGACAACTTCAAGTCAGCCTGGTGCCTTGTTGCAACAGCTGGTGTTTCCAGTTCAACACCTTCCCTAACTAAAGGTGGATCATGCAGTGGATAAAAGTGGATTGACACTCCTTTGAGCAATATATGCTCCTTCAGAGTCACACCAGACACAACTCACTAAGCCAAATAAATAAACACAATTTAAAAAATACCTTAAAGGAGACATTATAATTATAAATTATTTCCACAGTTTAACAAAATGTCTGACAGTCTTCTGTCAAAGTATTATCTAACCGCACTGCCGCATCAAAATCTTTTTGCAAAATAGGCTAGCAACAAAACATTTCCATGGTTGTTTATTTCACATTTGATGGGTGAGTAGGTGCACCAGAGGCACTAATTGTTCAAAGCAAATTTAAATGTTTATTTTCCATAATATGTCCCCTTTAAGATACTGTAAGGCGTGATTATTGACAACAAAAAGGTGATTCGGAGAAAAATTACACTCAGCAAGCAAAACGGGTGAATAGATCACAGCACTGAACAGTGATTCGTGATTATGGGACAGGTGTGGAGATATAGTACACACTCAAGCATCGTGCAGGTCAGACCTGGGACTGCTTAGAAGTAGCATGAGACGCCTGAAGGAGGGCTATAGGGTCCTCTTCCACGGATCCCTTTTGGCCAGCAAGAAGAGGTCAAAGTTTACGTATGAGCACAGAATATAGAGAACATGGGAATGTGTGTCATACAGTGAATACTTTTTAAAATACAGACAGTAGTTCTTAAATATGTAAAATGTCATGACCCAATGACATGTGACACAGTAGTTTGAGGAAACTATGAGCCACTAACTGGCTTTCTGGCTCATCGGCTTGAATACTAATGGTTGTGTATTCAAATACATTGTTATGCAGTATGCATTTGACAGGGGGAATATTGTGCATGCACAATGTGGGAGTATTATTTATTCTTTAAAAAAAAAAAAATAATAATACATATGAAGTCCATTGCAAGTGTCTCCAGTCAGCTAAACAGTGGGAGCGGGTTCATTTTGTCAGTAAGCCATTGAGAGTGAGAGAGAAAGAAAAATATAGGTCAACTTGGAAGACTGAATGAAGATAATGACTTTTTTTTGTTTGTTTGTTTGTTTAAATGTGCAAATGACAAGTCTTAAATACACCGTGGATATTCTTTACGGACACAAAATCAAAGGACTTTAGCATATTAGGCATGGTAACCACAGGTTAATTAGCAATGCAAGTTAAGAAGCAATATAAAGCAGTAATACCTTAGCTATGACAACGAGTGGAGTTCATGCTTATTTATTTACTTTTGCAATACTGTGTTTCACAAGTGAAGCGGTACGGTGTTTACAATAAGTACACACAAGAAATATCAGAGCCAACAGTCTATGCAATACACTTCAAACAATGCAAAGGGACAACGGGGAATTTACAGGGGTACTGAAGATCCTCATTAGCCGTTTTTGAGCCTCCTCAGTGTGACTGATCGGTGTCTCCTAGAGGTCAAACAGTATCACATTCACTCCAAGGACAAATTAAACTAAAAAGCCTTTATGATCATTGATGCTTGCAATCACCTATTCTCTCTCTCCTTCTCCCCCCCCCCCCCCCCCCCCCTCCCTCTCTCTCGCACGCACGCGTGCGTGCATGGCATCATATTAACAGAAAACTAACTGTGCAGTTCAGCACAGAGGTTATTCACAAGTAATTTGGGAGGTGGGCAGTACTCAATATTTGTAAATGATGTGAAATTTCAGACCAAAACAATAGCTGTACCACCAGAAGAACCCCCAAACCAACTGAATAAGGCACTCTGTGGATGTGGAGTGCCTTCAGTTGTTCTTTTTCAGATCTTCCATGATTTTGCCTTTATCCAATGCCACAATTCATTTGAAACATAACAATCATGATGTGATTGAAGTGTAGATTTTAAATTTTAATTTAAGGGCATTCACAAAATATGATCAAAGTTACCATTGAGGTATAAAACACATTTTAGGCAGGATACCTCCATATTTGGGGACCACTTCAAAATCCTTTGGAGACAATGACTGGCATGCGTCAGATTCCTTGGTTTCACCAGGCTTTTAGCAAAGCCATCTTCACTTGCCGTTTGTCTGGATAGGTTTTTTTCTCACTGGGGCCATCAGGTATGGACATGCATGCTATGTTGTGATGTCAATTCATCAATGCATTGCAATACGGTACTTGCCCTCGCAATTTAATATCGATTCGGCAAAGCCTCTGAATTGCGAATTGAATTGGACCGAATGGCCGTGTTCATATGCAAGGATCTTTGAATGTACAGTGTCGTGGAAACCCCATGGTTTAGGAGCATGGTACACTTGAACTCTGATACGCAATACCAAGACAGCGGTGTTGGAATTGTTGAAGTCGGCAGAGAGAGTGGAGCTGTTATTGTGATTTTTACTTTCGTACTCCATATGTTTCAATGAGTTATATGCATTTTTTTTCACACGTAAGCAACGCATAAAAACGGCTTTCAGAAGTGGCTTTGTCTACTCTGTATTTATAACGTGTGCCTCCAATTTTCAGGCATTCATGCTAAAAAAAAAAATCTACTATTTGTATGGTACTGTACTGAGATTGGGATTTCTCATCTTCAGGCAGGCACACATTTTTTGTGTAAAGACAAGTTATCTTACATTGCTGTCAGTTTTGAAACAGGACCTAAATACGGCTCGCCCCTTTTGAGCTGCGCACCAACTGCGATGGGTAGCAAAGAGATCTAAGTCGTTATTTCATGAAAGTGGATAGCACACTGTTTGGTGTTGACAAGAGTTAACACCATGAAAAACGGTTGCAAAATGAGCAAGGTACGACTCAGTTTCGATGTCTATGCATTGCATTTGATGGGAAAGTCAACCTCCCCAACATGGCCGCCACGGGACCTGAGCATGGACCTCCGCAAGATGGCTTCCACGTAGACACGTCATTAGCCGGCTGCTACAGAGCTAGAGAATATCCACAAGTATACAGCGCTAATTTGTCAAGTATTCTATAATCTTTATCATCAACAGGAAGACACAGTTGTTAGCACACCGCCATCCCCAAACAGGGAATTAGTGTATTCTTAAAGTCCATTATATTATTGTGGGGCCGGAAAAGGGAGTTGTCTGAGGTGTATCTGAGTGGACACATTATTGAACATATTTCTCCTCGCTCCTGCCTGCTTTTTGGGGTTCTCCACCACCACCACAAGGTGACAGTAGTATTGATACCTACGATACCAGCTTTTTGTGCTCCAAAAGTAATTCTCATAACAAACTGACATTTGATACTGGAGTGATTCAACGGATAATGTAAAGGTATATTATATTCTTAAAAGAAACCAAGTGGAAAGTAACGATGCAATGGAGATCTTGTCAAAATGATACGTGGTTGGTGAGAACTACTTTTTGCTCTGCTTGGTTAATTGTGTAATGCATAAGTACAGTTGGCACACCAAGCTACTCAGCCAGTCACTTAATCTCAGTTCCGACTCTTTACAATGGCATTAGAGCAGAGCGGAAGATGGAGTCATGTGTGGCACTGTTTCAGCTCCAACCAGCCAAGAATAAAACACAAGGCATTTATAATGAGACGGCATTATGGACAGAAGAAGAGAACACGTGTCGTTTCTTCTCCAGGTGCAGAGGGGGGGAAAACTATGGGGCTTTAAGCAGTGCTGAGCACTGTGGAAGTTGAAGTCACAAAATAAAGACATGCTTCAACAAACTGCTGCATACATTAAGTTTCGAGTAATGTGTGTCAATGAGATCATCTCGAATAGGGAAAAAAATATATACATTTGTTCAGGTGAAGTTTCCCCACAAAATTATCATTTAAAGTGGTTCTAAGCAAGGGGCCATTAAACTATACACAGCAAATGCACTCCCCCAAAAAACAGAAGCAAAAGAAAATTAAACAAAAAAACAGCCAGAGTGAACTTGGCAAAAAGAAAAGATTTACAATCAATCCAATTTGCCTTCACTGTTAAATTAATATTATAAAATGCACGCACTGAGAAATGTGTACAATTGTGGTGCCATTTATTTATTTATTTACATACTTACTGGTAATTTCAATTTCAGTCATTGAGTATTATCAAACAGCGACTGACTCGGACTGTCATACACTTTTAGGGCTTAAAATAAATAAATCACTCTGATGTCTTGTATTTTTTTATAAAGCTATGATATGAAATGCACAACTGTTTTTTTTAGTTATACAGGACACATGAGGAACGTTTGCACAAATTATCTGGATCGGATGAGTATCGCTGAAATCAAATGAACTGTAATGTAACTGAAATGTACTCACTGTCAGATCAAAAAGTGATTTGGTGGCAATGAGCATCACAAATTTGAACTCTGCCTCTAACAGTCAGACCTAGAAAAGGTCATTCATTCTTATATTTCATCCAGGCTGGATCACTGCAATGCACTGTACACTGAAATCAACACTCGCAATACACTCAAAATGCTGCTCCAAGATGTTTAACCTCCGCAAAAAGAAGCATGCTCATCACACCAGTCCTGATTGCCCTTCAATAGCTACCGGTGGATTTTAGAATGCATTTCGAGATATTTCAAATAAGTAACAACTGAAGCTGACTGCTGTGAAGGCCTGGTAAAGCATCTCCAGGTAGGAGCCGGTATCCATGACCCCTGGAGCCCAGATCATTGACTGCAAAGGATGTCCATCCAAGTTTTAAAGAATGATGCTAATTTTTCAGTAGTCTGACCCCAAATGTCACAAAAATGATCTAATTCTATTTGATTTCCTATTTTGGAGATAATCATAACCAAACAATACCTCTTGTTTTCTGACAGCAGGGTGATGAACAGGACTGATTTCTGGTGCAGGAGGCAGTGGACCTGAGCTGGAAATTTGATGAGGAAGGTTCACTTCAGGGGGCGGATTGTTTGAGATAGAATGACATTCGGGCTGTAGCAAGGTCTTTGTTCGGACTGCTGCAATTGCTGCGGTGGTAGAGATGGATTTTATAGGTGTTGTTGGTCTGGTTACAGGTATAAAGCCTGTAGGCGGACATAAAGACGTAGGCTTGGGCGCTGGGATAAAGCCAACAACCCGTGGCAAAGATGTCGGTCTGGAATGGGAGGATTTGGTAAAATGTGGCGCCGGAACAGATTTAGCAGACTGCATGCCTGTTTCAGTCACAGGCACTAATGGAGATTGGACTGGAGGATATAGATTGCCCTCTTGTGACTTTGGGGAGATTGTATCCTCTTTCGCCTCTTCTTTGGTCTCAGCTTGTTTGCGCTCCTTGTTTTCATTCTTCGATTCTTTTGTTTCCTGATGGTGATCCTTGCGTATCTTTGATCGAGGCTCCCTTGTCCTACCTCTCACCATCAAGTTGGTCAACCCCCGAGAAATGTCGTCTTTGTCTTCCGTTTTGATCGTTTCGTGTTTAAAAGAGAATGCAGACATCAAAGGGCCCTTGGACACAGAAGCTGGAGCAGTACCATTTCTGGCTACTTCGGGAATTTCCAACGCATGTCCTGGTGCAGTTGTTTCCTCCGCCCCAGAGGGCAGGACTTTCCTGACAACACGACGTACTACCTTCACTACTTTCTTGCGAGTCAGACCTTGATCATCTCCAGAGTCCGGCAAGCTGACGCATGGTGCTGGGCTATTTCCTTTGGCAATGCCATTGAGTGTGCTTTTATCCACACCATTTTGTTCTGGTTCACCATTCGTAACTAGGTTTGGACGCACAGAATTATGTCTTGCTTCGGGACTCTGGAGTCGCTCCGCCATTTTTGATGATGATGATGATGATGATGATGATGACGGCTCAAAGCTTTTGAAGCGTTCTGGAACTGTAACAGGTGTTCTGACTTTAGGTGGCGAGGGACTCCTGACTCGACCAACCATTTCAGAAGAAGCAACAGCTGGGGGGCTCAACGCCCGGTATAATCCCCTTCCAGGGTCGAGAGCAGACACAGACTTGGCCCGGTTGGACAGCCCATCACTATCTGACTACTCACAGAGAAGAAAAAGGGGAGATTTAAGAAGGGACCTCAAGTATCATGTAGTTAACCCTTTTAACATGCAGATTTTGATCTTCAATTTCGATGCATATGTACACAAAAATCATAGAATATAATAAGTTTTCATTTTATTTTGCTTGATAATGTATTATTATTATTATTATTATTATTATTATTATTATTATCAGAGATGAAAGTGGACTTTCCTGAAAATTCCGGGAAAAAAAATT